ATATGGCCTTTGATTGTAAGATAAAAATTTAATTTGAATGCATAGGCAATGATCCGGATTACGCGCGCAAAGATCTATTTGACGCGATTGCTAATCATCGGTATCCCTCATGGACTCTGAAGATACAAGTGATCACTGAGGAAGAGGCTAAACGATTTGATTTCAATCCATTCGATGCGACCAAGGTTAGTTTTTGAACTCATTTGAATTGAAAGTATTTTATTTGAAATGAAAACTTCAAAACTCGTTGTTTAAAGATCTGGCCGACAGACAAATACCCTCTAATAGAGGTGGGAGTGATGACACTCAACCGAAATCCTATCAATTTCTTTGCAGAAGTGGAACAGATAGCCTTCTGTCCCGCAAATCTGGTGCCCGGTATTGAACCCTCACCTGACCTACTATTAGCAGNTAATAGAGGTGGGAGTGATGACACTCAACCGAAATCCTATCAATTTCTTTGCAGAAGTGGAACAGATAGCCTTCTGTCCCGCAAATCTGGTGCCCGGTATTGAACCCTCACCTGACCTACTATTAGCAGGAAGACTGTTCTCCTATTCAGACACTCAAAGATATCGGTATTTATTGATCATATATAGTATAAGCACTGGTATTTTATAAAAATGATTAAATTTTTATATAATATAGTTTGGGCGCAAACTTCCATTTACTTCCCGTAAACAAAGCCCACAATCGTGTGATGGCACCGACACAACGGGACGGCCCCATGCGATCGGACGACAATATGGGCCCTCAACTTAACTATTATCCCAATTCATTCTCGGACGTGAGGGATGACCCTAAAATGATGGAGTCTAACTTCACAGTTAACGGTAATGGTGGTAATCGAGTGAATGATAATGTAGTGGTGTATCGATATGATGACAAGAATGACCACAACTACGAACAGGCCCGAGACCAGTATAATAGCTACAGTAAGGAGTGGAAGGAAAGGCTGCACAGAAACCTGGCCACCTCTATGAATGGTGTGCACGCCTTCATCAGAGACCGCGTTCTCGAAGAGCTCCGAAAAGTGGATCCTTTGTATTCGGACGGAGTCCGCACTGAAATCAATAGATTGGCCAAAAAGTCGGGAAATTTACCCAGAACCACTGCATGATAGCTTTATTTGATATAATCAATAAATACAGCATATTTTTAACCTATTAAATTCTTTTAAGTAGTTATTTAGGAGTTATGAAATATTTATTTTTCCACTTAACTGGTGCGTCTAGATTTAACTTGTTGTTAATCTTATGACTATTTATTTTGATTAGTTTTCTTATTTTTAGATTTAAATTAAAAATTTATTAAGCATTTATAAATAGTCAAAGGTTAAAAACTAATTTTGGAACTCACGAAGCACTCATAGTTTGTCCATGATTCTTATTATTTTAATCTGTTGTAAATTTAATAGTATAATTTTCTGGTAGCTTTTGACAGTTGATGTTATTTTTATAATAACAGCTTTATAAACATTTATAACTATAGCTATAAAAAAGAAAATTATTAGTTACTAGGTTTGAAAACACATTTGATTTTAAACTTTAATGTAAATGTATATAAACACGTGTATTTATCGATTATATCATTTAATTAATTGCAATATATAGGTATCTTATTAATATGTGCCCAGTTTCGTAATTCACTCTTAATTACAGGAGTCTTAAGCATCAGAGTGTGAGCCCTAAGGATGCCAGACAATCATCGAGGAGGTCATCCACTAAACCCTCATCTAATAGAGATAGGAATGGTTCCCGAGGTAGAAGTGATACCCGAGGAAGCGAATGGATTGGAAACGGATGGGGACGTGTCGGACCTCCCTATTTGTATCAGAAGCTGAAAAGTAATAACAATTAGGATTAGAAAAGCATGTGATCTGAAGGAAAGTTGTATTTTTACTGTATAATATATAATAACCAATTGGTGGCTAAGCATGTACTCAGTTCTTAGTATTTTATTGTACTTCACTACTAATAGCTGCCAATAATGACTAGTTCTTACACTTATAAGAAAGTATTACATGAATTACAGTACGAATCATAATAATAAGCACTTATACTCAATACGATATTCTTAAGTGGGATATAAAGTATTATTAGTCTTAATGTTATATATTTTTTATTAATCAGTAATTCCATATAAATATGCCATATTTTTAAAGTGCCATTTTATGCATGTTTTATGAGATTTTTATTCGTGAATACTTTTTTATACATTTTATAAAAATGATTGTATCCATATTTTAAGAATATATTAATGTTATACAATAAAAGATAAAATTATTTTAATGCTCATATATTAATGCCTGAATTTATGCCATATATTAAACATGTTAAACATATTAATGATATTAATTTAATTTAATGATTAATATCATTTAAACTAATAATTTAAAATAAACACAGAATCTGTTGTGAATATTAATAGCATTCTAGAAATGAGCAAAAGGTTTGACACACAAAATAACAAATTGTTCAAAAGTTTGTCAAAACATATTACACACAAAGTCTTGAAGGTTATCGTTGGGGTTGATTACCATTCTTTAGATAAAAATAGACTCAAAATTATGTGGATCTGTGAATGTGTGCCAAAATTCTGCAAAATTCTTTGACGTTTGTCTTATAACGCAAAGTGTTTACTGAATTCAGTGACAGAAGTATAACAGACTATAAAAAGCAAACTTTAACTCTCGGTTCGTCTTTCAAACATTTCATTAGTCTATTGAGTTTCGTTTAGTTTGTGTTAAACTTTTGGTGTTAATTGTCATTTATTGTCATATTTTTAACACAGAATCCTCCAAAAAGAAGTCATATTTTGATACAATGGTTGGATTTTATGAATACGAAAACGACTGGTATTTGAGGGAAGCGGCGAGTCTTCGTTATAATAGCAAGTGGAGGAATGGGAGGCAGAAGTTGATGCTTCTGGACTGGAAGCTCAGACAAATGGACCTGGACACCAGAAAGCATCACGAAATCAGTCAGCATAGCTTCGTGAAGCCAACTAATTTTGCCAGAAATCAGCGCAATTATAATATTAGGCGGAACTGGAACCACAAGTTCCCCATTTGGGCCCCTTATCGGGAACTCCATATGTAATCCATGTCCACACCTATACCAAAGTCTTTAACACCAAAACCGAGTTATTTATTTGATTATTACTTAATTGATGCCATATTAGGTCGTAATAAAAAGGTAAACATTTTAAGATTAATTAGATTTTCATAATTTAATAAAAACTTATATTTATTTTTTATCTACTTTCAGATCTATGCTAATCATAAGAATTGAGTAATAATTTTGAATTTTATTTTATTTTTATTAGTCATGTAAAAAATAAAAATTCAATTTTATTTCAATTTTTATTTGAATTCATTGTATGTGAAGATAAGAAGAAGAAATAAATTATATTAATAAATGTCTGATTCTGTTATGTCTGATACGTGTTCAATCAATTTCAATGTCAAACTTATTTAATCCATGTAAATGTAATATTAATAGAATTGATTCTATCGTATGATCTCTCTCTCTCTCTCTCTCTCTCTCTCTCAACATAATTTTAATTTTATTTTGTATTTAAAAATAATATTGTAGTTTATAATACAAAAATAAAATTTACTTTAATAATTGATTACTGATTAAACTACTTATGTGTTGCACTCAATACATAAACTGAAGAATAATAAGAATAATGATTGTAAACATTGTGTTCAAACATAGACTTTGACACAATTATAGTGTGCAAACAACTCGTTTAATATTCATTTACAGAAAAGTGTCTAAAAATGATGCATTGGTTTAAGAAATATAAATTTTCGATAACAATTTATTAATGACTAAATGGGTACACACAATATAAATACAATGCTTATGCATAAAAACTGAAGTGACATAATCCTTATACATAGCAACACATTCCCTAATGTGTAATAAAAGCATAGATTTTCGCATTAGATTCAGTCTTATATCGATTGGATGCGCAAAATTGGTGCCAAAAATGTCTCAAATGCTCACAGAATTGAATATATTGAAGAGAATAATGAACTCAGGGATTGCTGTGAAGTTTAGGTATCGGTTTGTGTGCAAACTTTCAGTTCACTGCAAATATCAATCATTTAATTGCTTAAAACCCTTAAATCATTTAATAAGCAGTTTCCGATTTCAATCAAAATAGCATTTTAAACACATAATATGTTATAGTGTTTTATATCACAGTAATTGGACGCAATTGAAAACAATTTTAATTTACAAAAACCAGATTAAGACACACTCGCAGTCTCTCTATTAACCGATACCTAAACCTAAGCGAAAAATTGATTTTAAATCCAAGTTCATTGTCATCAAAGTTAGACCACTTTCCCTCTTTCTCTCTCTCTGTCTCTCTCTGTGCGATTGAGTCACGCGATTCTCGTAACACATAACCCATTCCTCTTTGTCTCGCAAATCACATCAGTTTTGACTTTTAAATCAAAATGAAATCTAAATATTTTTTCCATTTTTTATTCCTTACTGTTTTAATCGACACTTTATACCCATTTAAAGTGCTTTCGTGTAACGTATTGTCAAAAGTTGATTCAATATCCTATCTCTACTACAAAGGAATTGCATTTATATTGACATCAAATGGTTATTATTATGTAATCAAAGAGGAAGACGTGACCAAAGAGGACGTCAAAGAGTTTGATCCGTCGGGTATTGTCCCAAATGTGTCCCATTGTTGCGATTCTGCGATTCTTAAGGACATCAATGATTGCGAAGACGAGTCCCATAATGAACACACCATTGCTTTCACTAAAGTAATCAACATTTTATATTTACTTAATGTCATTATATTCTTAATACATTTGTGTATTAAGACAGTATTGCAATATTTCAGTATTTAACGATATGTTGTATTGTAAATATTTGTTGCATGCTATCATAATTTTAGTCATACAGTACATTGAATTAATGAAATTATTTGATTACAATTATTAGTTATTTTGCATAATAAAAGTATCTTTTATTAACAGTACACTTCTGGTGCAACAAAATACATATCACTGAACATTAGCTCAATTTTCAGTGAAGACCAGACAAAACTGTGGTCCAAACCACAGACAATTATCAATGATCTCATACTTTCTAATGTAATCCCAGGTAATTTTTAAAAATATTTTTGTTAAAATTATAAATTAATTTATTTTGACAAAATATCTGACAGAATGGGAAATTGGTTTCCCGTAAGACAACTGTTGAGCAGCTGTCATCTCATCCAATATTTTCAAGAATTGTAAGCATTTCTAATTAATTTCACTTTAAAGATTCAATGAATATTGGTTTCAAATGAAATTATTTTTTAATTAAAACATCTAAAAATTATAGAATTGTATTAATACCAAATTATTTGTATATAATTCATAGTGTGCCCCCACTTATAATAATGGATACGATTCATCACATTTATCGGCTGAAGATCCAATAGTTGGGATGTCTCTCAATATGGCACCAGTAGTTCATTATAACGCATACATAAGCGTTATTTTATGCATTCTCTTGTGGTATTCAATTCGTTAAATTCACTTTTGTCTCACATGTAATCGTATTAAATAATGTTTTCTAATTAATGCATAGTTTGGACAGAATATTCATAAAACGAATTATGAAGTATTGAGAAAAGTAAACGAAGTCTGAATTTTATGCGAAAGAATAAAACTAAACATTAATGATATAAAAGTTTATAATACAGTACAGTATTCATATTAATGGGTTTATAAAATATTCCATAAAACTAACGTTTATTGCAATTTAACGCACACTTAATGGCATAAAATTCAATAAAAATAAGGAATTTTGATCTAATTGTAGATATTTTGAACAAAAAGTGTTTATATTAAGTTTGCATTTTTGATAAAACATGCTATAACATTGGATAAAGCAATATCACAATGCCATAATACATAATTCAATTATTTAATAAACCAGACGTTTGTATTTATAGATATGAATATTATTTAACACAATTTTTATTCCAGTATCATTACCTAATCTATATTGTCATATATATTAAGTTATTTAACATATTTAAACATATCATTGATTTTATTTAAAACATATCGTTAATGAATAATTTCAAAATTAAAACATGTTTGTATTAAACGAACTAAAATGACAAATAAATCAATGGATTCAATTTATATTTTATTCATTAATATTTCCAATAAATTTATCATACATTTTATACAGCTTTTTAATAATAATAATAATATTAATATAATGTAATAAAAATATCAATGCTTATAAAACATATAGTTATTTATTAATTGTAATATAAATATATAACTAATTCATTAGAAAATTAAGTTTAATTGAGATTCTTGGTAAACTACAAAATAACAATTTTATTGCGAGAATATTCTGTTACAAGAATTGCTCTCAAATGTTATGTAAATGTTAATCAAATTAAATATAATCTCTATTTATTACACAACTATCAAATGAGACATAACTAATATATAAACACAATTTATTAATATTCGATATAATGTTAACATTTTATTGAAATCGTTTCCGAAAATAATAATTTCGCAGACATTTCTTGAAGTATATTTGATATTTAAAGAGAAAACCCATTTTAATTGGTCGACATCTTGAGAAAACGGCTTTCCTCTACTAAACAATTGAGAGTTGAGTTCATGTCATTGATGACCATATTTGTGGATAATTGGACTGATGACGATCTGCAAGACATAGCAGACATTGTAGACATGGCTGATGCCGGGCGTAGGCATTGCTGTTGCGGGACCTGTTGGGGTTGGGGTTGAGGTTGAGGTTGAGGTTGTTGGACACCATTGAGAGCTGGTTTAGGTGTAGGACAGGTAGAGCTAACAACTTTACAAGAGCCGGCAGGGGATAAAACATTGCCGGGGCTTAAGGGTTGTCCGTTATTGGGATCAGTTGTACCCGTTTGTTGATAAACATACTCAAGAGTTCTCTGATATGCTTCGGGTCTCATATTGTTTCTGTTAGCGGCGGCCAAAGCCGCGGCTCCGGTACTCTCAATACTACCGCATTGTATCTCAGGATTGGTTTGATTTTGGCACTTCTGGACAGACGTTGCGCTCAACTGATTATAATTAGCGGACGTATTGGTATTCTGAAGGCACTTCTGCATCACAGCTGAGGACTGTTGTGGTGTCGACTGACTCTGTAATTGGGGTGGAGTTGGCAGTGATTCTTGTGGTGGTTGACATGGGTTTGGTGTCATGGGTTGAGCAGTGGGTGCAATGGTGCTGATGGTGTTATTGGCAATATTGGTCACGTTATTCAATATATTAGTATTGTTTTGATTGAATTGCTGTCTAAATCTCATCTGATTTTGTTGCCATTGGATCTGTTGTGCACTTAAGTATTGGTTTATGTATTGCTGTTGATATTGGTTTTGGTTGATATACTGCTGGTTCTGATAGCTGTTCCACTGTTGCTGTGTTTGGAACTGTTGCTGACTTTGCATTTGATTCCAATGTGGTTGCGGTGGTGGCAGGGGTTGGGGTTGAGGGGCAGACATCTGATGGTATTGGGGTAATATTTGATTTGCTAATATAAATTAAATAAAAAAAGTTAGAAAAGTTCATAAAACAAAATTCAATATATCATACCTGAGCTCTGATTCCAAGCATTGATTTGTTGGAATTGATTGTAATTGTTATAAACATTTGTATTGCAACTAAAATTTTGTTGATTATTAGGACTACTATTAAATGTTTGATTCCAATAGGGGTTGTTTTGGGGCATAACAGGTGTCTGAGTTTGAATGAAGTTCCCATTGTTTGGCATCTGAATGGCCCGACTATAAGACGGGGTCGCCGTTTGCTGTGAAGTATTTTGAGACATAATAGAGGGTTGATTGCAGATATTAGGTCTTAGACCTGTTTGTACGGTATTTACAGAGTTATTATTATTTACAATAATAGCATTCGTCGAGTTGTTTGCAATGTTTGCGGGTTTAGAGTTATTGAGCACTGGTTTCATAGGACTGTTCAATGGGTTGGTGTGATTGGGAGACAGCTGTGGTTTAACCATCGGCGGTGACATCATCGACACCGATGAGGGCGATGTCTGCATCGGTGTCTGCGGCGACATAATCTGGACGGAGGCGGGAGTGGACGGCGATAACATGGGAACAGAAGGCGCTCTGAACTCATTGCGAGTATTATTGGGTAATGTATTGAAATTAGTTGGCGGCGAATGGACTTGAATGGGAGGCAGTGGTAGTGGTATCACAGCTCGGATATCGGCGTTATTTTTAATAGTATTGTTTGGCACAACTTCTTGAGTCTTGGTCTGAGTCATGGATTCTGTCGATTTGTGCGACTTTTCATTCAGATATTGAACCTAAAAGTGGTATAAAAGTGAGAATTAGATCTGAATAAACTTTATATTGTATTATAATGACTGACCATATCGTCGGGAAGTATCATATTATTCATGGTCTCAATCGGTTGATCGGAATCGCATTCATCGAGAGTCACGCTTTCGTTCGGATGATTAGAAGTGGAAGTGTTTTCGTTAAGACTCGGTGGCGGCGGAACTGCTGTCCGATTGCGTCGCGTACTGACACTCGACCCGATGGATGAGACCGACGAGGAATAGCGTTCAGTAGTCATAGCAATGGATTGCGGCTGAATCACCAAATTGTCGGTTTGGGTCAAGTGTTTCGCCTGAGACGATGTCGACGACGTCCTGCGATTGCCGGCGATGTCTGAACAGCTGGCGTCTGAAGATCTTCGCGAAGAACCGCCGATAGATATGGGATCATAAGATGTGCAGCGAATGAGTTCACCATTGGATGTCAGCATCACTTGTGGTGCTGATGAAGAACTGTTCGTCAGCTGTGAAGAGGTGTGCGAATTGTCTGAACCCAAGACAGAGCTGTAGAAGGAGTTGGAGTTAATACTGGATGTACTGCCCTGTCGTATGAGTTTAGATTTGTTGCCCTTCTTTTTGCTCGACATTTGATTGCATTGATTATTGCCTAAAGAATTGCGAAACAAATGTCAATAAAATGCTAATAATTTCATAATTTCTCCGTTAATACCCAATAGTTTATTATTATTGCAATTATTGCCGTTGACTGAAGAATAGTTGCAATTCTTGTTGTTATTAGTCTGTGAACTATTCCTGAAGAATGGTATCCAACTCGTGGCCGACTTTATTCCAGACTTTATGGCTTTGATGTTATTCTTTATGGAATTTCTTTGTCGGGGAATAACTCGCTGTTGAAATTGTTATTAGTCTGTGAACTATTCCTGAAGAATGGTATCCAACTCGTGGCCGACTTTATTCCAGACTTTATGGCTTTGATGTTATTCTTTATGGAATTTCTTTGTCGGGGAATAACTCGCTGTTGAATACCAAGCATACCGTCTCCGCAAACACCAGTCCTGTCGAGACCGGTGTCCACTTCGACGGTGATAGCGTCTGCCGCAGACCAGTCCTGATCGGCTGTTCCGATACAAGTGGTTGAGACAGAGTTATCACTAATTGGTTGGTCGAAGCCATCGCCTGCGAAGTCACAGAGAGGGTGATTGATGGCTGAGTTGGGCGGGGATCCAGATCCTGAACCAGAACCTAAATAATGCATTAGTTTTAGTGCATTAGTGAAGTGTTCATTCAATTAGCAACAAATGAGTGCAGACCTGATCCGGAAGATCCCTCTGGAGAACTGCCCACATTTGGAGGCGATTTGGACTCATTATCGGGCGAACCATTTGGAGGGCTATTGTTAATGATCTCACTTTTGAAGACATCACTTAAACCGTCTTTCGGACTGTTGTTATCTTTGGGCGAAGGATTGTTACCATTGGTGTTGTTATTGTTATTACTATTACTGGTGTTGTTATTATTGGGTCCGCCCTTATGTTTCTTATTCGCGTAGACCTCTGGCCCGTGAACTGTCTTAACGTGTTTCCTGAGCGACGAGGGATCCGTGTACTTCTTGACACAACCGGGAACTTTGCAAACGTATGGCTTCTCGTTAGAGTGGGTCCTATTCTGGTGTTTGGCCCGATCGCTGGCGTTGGAGAAGGCCTTCGAACAGCCGGGAAACTCACACATATAGGGCTTCTCTCCCGTATGCGATCGCAAATGAGTTTTTAAGTTCTCGAGTCGTGAATACGCTTTCGCACAGCCTTTCCATTATGAAAGAGAGATCACAAAAATTAATGATCAGTAAAGTAGTCATAATTTTATACGGCGTTCGCTATTATAGCGTATAATGATATAGACCTTCAAACGTGCATTTGTGCGGCTTTTCGCCGGTGTGTCGTCTCATGTGGACGACTAACATATATTGGGCTTTGAATGGCTTCTCCTCACGCGAGCACTCCTTCCAACGGCAGACGAAACTCTTTTTGTTTCCGTGGATGTGATCGTTGTTGATATGTTTGACCAATTCTTCCTGAGTGGAGAACTCCTGACTACACTCTTTCCAGTGACAGTTGGTTTCGATGAAATCTCCCGGTTCTGTGTGATCGTCGGCGTTGTCCTCCGGGTTGTCCTCGCGTTTGATTTTCGTCCGATTCACGAGTCCGGCCCTCACGTCGTGATCGCCGACAGTGGACGACACCACGTTGGAGGCCGTCTCCCGTCCCGAATGGGGCGCATCCATGTGCGACAACTTGTGCGACACCGCCGACAGTTGACTGTGAATGAGGTGCGGGTGATGTGGCGTGAACGCCGAGCCCGACAGACTGGCCGCGTTGTGGGCGGCCAGGGATGAGGGGCCCTGAGGTAGGAGTATTGGTGAGCGCATCAAGTGATGCAAATGCGAGGGAAGGACTGCACAGCCGTTCGGTTGCATTCCTAGCGATGGACTCAGAGTACCTGCGATACAGAGTTATGGCTATTAATTACCGATCAATAAGTTTATGTGTTTTGTATTTACATAATATGTTTAGTCGTATTTAACAACTTTATACACTTTTATGGAAATCTATGTCGTAAATGTTAAATGCTTTTAAAATTGATTTTTCACTCTAAACTTCTAAAGATTATTCATTTTTGATAATATTTATGAGTATATGTTTGAAATAAAAATCCATGTGAATATACTTTTCATTGAAGGGATACATAAATATGAAAAGTTGAAAGAAATAAGAATTTTTCAATTGGATATTGAATACAACAAAAATGAATTGCAATGAAATGCCTGTAATTTAAAGTTCATTGAATAGAAAGTGAGTGTAAAAAACGCTGTGAAAGGCAAAGTTGCGGTGAAAAAACAGGTTTCGGATTCAATCTCTTAATAAACTTATTATATAATAAATACATATATGAGAGGCCGGAGAGAGAGAGAGAGAGAGAGAGAGACTGAAAATCAAGTTCTCGTATCAAAAATTATACACAAATGTAAGACAAGGAATGAATTTCTCAAAGCGAGTGATGAAAACGAATCACTAATTAGTTGCAAAAAACTAAATGTTTAGAAAAAATCTTATTTTTCTTTATGACTTAATTTATTGTTTAAATCTTTTGATTATACTTGAGATCTTCAACGATCTATAGACAGCAGACAAATAATGTGAAAAATGTCTGAAAACTTAAAATAGTTTTCATGTATAAGACGTGGAAGAATTAATACTTTCTTAAATAAATTTTGATATTTTTCAGACACAAGACATAAAATACTGTTTGTGTACTTCACTAATAGTTATCAAAGGTGTAGATAAACATGATTTCGATAAACTAACCATTAATTATATGGTATTTCATTTATTATTATAAATTTCTATACATAATATACTTCAATAGTTTACTTTTTATATTCTAAATGTGTTTTCAGTGGCAAAAAATTTAATCAAAAAATGCAAAACAAATCTCTATTAAAATGCCAACAAATCTAAACACATGAGATAAGAGATTTTATTTCATTTTAACATTTAATTAATTCTGTTGAAAGTTTTTCTTTAATTTCAAAACTGGAAAAGTGATGATAATTTTTGTTATTTTGTGTCTAAAAAATTAATTGATTTTTTAGTTTTCAACTCTTTTTTTCACTCAAAAACTCTCGATTTGCTATTCAAATGAAAAGCAAATGAAATGAAATGAATTGATTGATCATTAAATAAGGTGAACAAAAAGAAGTGCAGTCTTCGCTAAAATTAATTTAAATTTTTAGATAAAAACTAAATAAAAAAGGAGACGAAAAAATGCCTTTTAATTGGAAACTGACTAATGATATGCAAAGACTTTTTTTGAGAGGAAATGTTAGCCTTTTTTATGTGTATATAATCAGCGAATAACATCTTTTCAGTAAAAACCAGTAAAAACAGATTCAAATCATTTTTAAATGTTATTCATGTGATTAATTTGTTTGACTAATAAAATGCTTTACTACTTCTCGAAAACTATTTTCGACTATAAATTATTTTTTTCAAATACTTTTCTAATCGGCGTTTTTGGGTTTGGATTCTTGAGATTAATCTCCGATTTCTATCAATCGGTTATATCTTTGATTAAGAGTTTTGATAATTAATTGAATTTAAAGCAATACTAAATATATAATTCATTTAACTTCTACCTAAATATGTGACAAATATATCAGAATATTTATTAATTAAATAAATAATTCAACGTAAATATAAATAATTAGTAAATGGTTAGTAGTTATCATAGAGTGGAGGCATTATATCAAAGAATTTTTCAAAAAATATTTATGAAATTGGAGTAAAATTCTTTGCATTTAATATAAAAGTTTATTTTTGTTTTAACATAACATTAGGTAATAAATAGGAAATCTCATAGAAATAACGACACATTCTTTCCGTCAAATTAATCAACGATTCACTCCATAAAAGTTCGATAATTTTTTGTCATATAATTAACTTTTTTAATTCAATTCAATTCTCGAGGCGTTTATAAGCAAAAAAAATCTCTCACATATTACGATATAATTAGCAGTTATAGTCTCAAACATTAAACCCCTTTTCACTGCTATTTTGTATGTATGAGAAATATACAGCTATTTCATTACGAAAAGCGTTGATTCAATTCTCATCTCAATTTTAATTCATTATTAATAACTGAATAAATATTACAGAATAACTAAGAATATAATTAATCGGTTGTGTCTTAAAGCCATTTTAGCGCCAGATTTGCACAAAAGCAGTGTTTCATTACTGAAAAACTGGATTTTTGTTAAAATAAATCTTCAAATAAGAAAAATAATTCATTTAATTAAACGTGAATTTCTGGAAATCAATGAACTCTTTAGGCACTGAAACCAAGGTCCAAATAAATGCACATAAAATGGCATAAAATGTAGCAATTATTTATTGAAGTAAAACTAACCGGCGCTGACGGAAAGGTGTCCATAGGAGCCACTGGCACTCGAGGAACGGGAGCCATTCATGAATGAGACCAAAGAGTTGGGCGAAAATCGGATCATTGAGTTGATGTCGAATGAGTCGGAATAGGGAGAGGCGGAGAGGGCTCTCTTGCGGCCGGACGTCAGGGCATTGCTGGCAGATGTGGGCGCTCTGAAGGGCCCGTCCATGGATGAGATGGAGGCCCCATAGGCAGCCGCGGCCGCCGCCAGAGTGGCCTCATTGTGCAGGTGATGGACATTGAGGTCCTGACTCTGACCAGAGAGGGCGGCCATCGACGCGGCCATACGTTGGTTGAGTAGACTGACCTGTTGGAGGTAGTCATTGTGCAGGGCTGTCGGCGCACCTAAATCTGTCACAAATACATATTTCCAATTAATTCAATCTCTTAATAACTATGTTTTTAAAAATTAATTTGAATAGGAATTTTAATAATATTGTTTTGCTATTTTTTATCGATGTATAAAATAAGTTATTTGAAATTAAAAACAATAAACTAAAACTAATATAGGATTAGTATTTGAAGTTTTTGATTTCTATATTACATTTATAAAAAAAATTACAAAAAATATGAGATTTAACTGAATACTATCCCTTAAAAATTTATAATTAATGATAGTTTTGGTTTGGGCTAAAGTTCGCACATTTCCCTCCGGATATAATTATTATTAAGACATTCACTTTCCCTTCAAAATTCTCTCTCTCTCTCTCTCGCTCTTTCTCTCTCACCTAATAATGAGATGCTTTGGATTTAACTAAAAAGCTATTCAAACATAAGGTTAAATGTAATAAATATTATCCGCAGTTATACTGCCTTTTAATTCAGTAAAGACTAAAAAGAAATTAACTTTTCTTTCGCTCAAATTTGCCGAAAAATCTAATAATTATATGATTTTATATAAAGATTACTTAATATCGAAAATCAGAGTTAAGTATAGAGTAGTTGAGTTAATGTTATCAGTAGATATCATAAAAATTAGACATAATTTTTAATGTTTTAATAAATTCTAAAGTCTAAATTTTACATTTAACTGAAATGCATTGCTATAAATAAACAATAATTAAATCAGTGCTGAAAACATTAGAAACATTCTTATATTTTGTATTTTTTAAAAGTTTAAAATTTATAATTATAAAATAATTAGTCAAAAATAGATAGTCTAATAGTAAACGTCTGGTGAATACTGAAAACAGAATCAAATTTGTTATAAATGTCAACAGAATTCAGTGAGAAATCAATCTTCTGGTGACTGAGACAACAGACAAATGTTAAGCAAAGGAAAAAACAGTCAAAATAATTAACTGCTTTTGATAAGACGTTCAATGAAAGAAAACATTTATATTAAATAAAAGTCTTTTTGTGTAGAAAACTGCAAAAAATATTCAGTAAAGACTCGACTGAATCAATAAAATAAATGAGAAAAATAAATAAATAAATAAAAATAAGTGAAAAACACGAGACGTGACACGAGACCATAAAAAGTTCAGTTCTTGGGATGTATTAGTGCCAAGAGTACTGATAACTGAGAGACCATTTACAGTATGTGAATGTCTACCAAAAAAGTTATCCTTAAACTTTGAAAAACTAAAAAAACTTTTAGATTAGATAACAATATGTTTGGTTATATTCTGTATGTTTATGGCAGGGATGGAAAGGGAGAGATAGAGAGAGGCAATAACAAAGAGTCAAATGGTAAAAATCGTGCAGAAATTTGTTATTTTCTAGTCTCTAGTCTTAACAACAATTAGTAGAGATTCTCCAAAAAAGTTTTAACAAAATATATGTAAAGAACTGTTTTTGTGTAGTAAATAGAGTTCACATCACTATATGCTAAAAGCAATTGAAGGGATGTGTTCAGCGGTTTCGGCTAAATATGGTTTAATGTCACGAATTATTAAAACACAGGCACTGATGAGAAAATTATGTGAATTACTTTTAAACAAAAAGTTGTTGTGCAAAACTTCAAAAAACTTTTGAAAATTTATTTTTTCAAAGGTTTAAAAAGTATTGATAACTAATCACCAGAATATCGACAATTCCTAAGATAAATAACGATTTGATTTTTCAATTAACATATTGAGTGCAAAAAACTTGAAAACTTATTCATAGCAACGAAAAAAACAACAATTTTTCTCTCACTCTGAGAGATGAATAAATAATGTTTTTATTTAGCATTAAGTTATTGCTGAAGAAGAATCTCTTTCTAATCATAAATCGTGACAACAGTTTAATTGAAATATCAAAACCAAATGCAAAGTTTGCTTTTAATTTACATTTCAATTACTCCTATGTTTTCGGACTTTTCGGATGATTTGATTCGCTTTTCTTTCTTTGAATCATATAATAGTATTTTTGTATGAATTCTAGATTTATGTGAATTTCAAAAGAAATTGAATATAAATTTTATTCAAAGGCAACGATTAGATATCTCTTATGATTATAAGATGAGATAAAAAATTTAGTTTTTTTTATTGAAAACCAAAGTTTGAAACGAAAATTCATTTGAGAGGAGAATTGATGGTAATTATCGACACAAATTCTAGATGAGATGGAAATGGGTTTTGGGGTATTTGTTGCGACAAAATCTGTGAAACATCTCATCACTGGTATCCTATTTTTACATTCAAAACCATACGCTCTATAGTGAGACTACAATACAATATTTCAACACAAAACATAAATTAATGGAAAAATAAAAAAAATAGGTTCCGCTTTGAAAGTTAGAAACTATAGAATAGTATCAAAAAAAGTATTTTTTGCAAAATTTGATTATAAGTTACACTTCATTATTGATAGTCTCTTCAAAAGCAAAGATTGTGAACACAATTGTCTGTTAGAGTACTCGTCGACAACTCCACCCAATAGAGGACTGAGTGGGAGAGAGAGAGAGAGAGAGAGAGAGAGCAAATTTAACAACTTTGTTTGTCGCACCCGAGCAACACATATGTTTGGCACAAAAAGTCAATTTCAATACCATTTTTGTGTTGCAGAGAGAGATAGAGTGCTGTGAAAGAGAAGCTCTAATAGAGAAGCCGTAAAATATACGCCAATTCTTAGGGCTTCACTCAATCTGCAGATAAATAATTACGGTTTACGAGTGAATGCCAAGAGATGAGGGACGGGGAGGCAAGACATTGCCTTTTGAAATCTTTGTTGCATTAGTATAGAGAAATGAGAATACCTTTCCTGGAAAGAGGCTATCGGTTACTGAAAATGACCGGAATTTATAAGAAAATAAATTACTAAATAAGTTATCGACTGATTATAGTCGAGTGGCTCTGAAGCCTGAAAATTGGTCGTAAATATTGACCCGAGTATTAGATGTGGTGTTTGTGAGCACCAAATGATTAGCAAAAGAGAAAAAGCAAATAAAATGAAATGCGAGACAAACCCGGACTCAGACCACGCATTGATAGGGCAGATGGACTCGTATGAAACGGTGAGGCGTAGAGTCCATCGTAAGGGGACAACCGGTGGTATACGGAAGCGGCCGACGATAGCACTGGAGATCCATCGATGTGTCCGCTCACCAAATGACGTGACGGCGAACTGGCCAAAGAGCCCCACACGTAACGGCCTATATATCGACATTCATTTTGATATATTAGCTCTCGATTACTATTATTATACCTTAACTTAGTTAAACAAGGCAATTACTAATAAATTGTTATTTCATACACTCAGACCTCGCTATAACAGTGCAACTATTATAAATAGGGCTACAGATGCACTAAAACTTTGTGTATTATATCGGGGTTTACCTAATATTGAGGTCAAGTTCCTATGATATTTATTTAAAAACCAATAAAAACTTTTGTTTCTAATAATACTGTATGTAAAACATATTCTTTATTCATATAGCATAGAAAATAATTATTATATTTCATAAGAATTATCATTATACAGTATTTTGAGCTATAATCTGGATCTATGTTCAAAAAGGATGTGTTTTCTGTTTTTCTTATTTATTGTTTGGTTTATTCTGTAAAAATTGTTTATTGAAAGCAATACATGGAATTCTCGTAAATATATTTTTTCTGCAAACTTAAGGTCAAAGACAATATAAAAGGCAATTTCAGGGATGAGTATTGAAATGTGTATTCAATTGTAAATATATAGACGATAACAATAAGAATAGCTTTATATATGGCATACCTTCATGTGTTCTCTGGTCAATGGGCAGAACCAACGGCGCGCTCGCAAACGCTGGAGGAGTACTGAATTGAGATAATGGCAAACCTGGAGATAATAAAGCAATATAAACGTTAAATAATAATGAAATTAATCTCATATATAATGCAATTATAAGAATAATCTTTGTGCAGAATTATTAATGGCTTTTCTTGACTATTATTATAGAAATATTAGTTTTTATCGAGTAATTGAATTATATTTTAATAAAAAATTCACTTTTTTGAATGAAATTCTTTGTTAATCTGTAGTTTTCACTGAATTCTTATTACTAACGTATTTGATAAGTTTATTCATTAATCTTTTTTATATGACTTTTGATTAAAAGTTATTTCAAAGTTATTACTGAATTATATAAGTTATTATTGTCCATTGGTTAGCAAATAAATTAAAGTTAACAATGTTTTCTCAAACTTTGAAAACAAACATTTTTATGGAAATATTTTTACATTTCAAAGAGAAAACAGAAAACATATAATGAGTCTATCAGTGGTTGAGTGCAAATACAGCTGAAGTGAAGCAGAGCTACAGTTATGTTATGATTGCATATATGAAAAGTGAGTGGAAAAAGACAATCGCATGAGAATAATGTTTAAACATTTACCAAAATGAGGGTCCATTTAGGTATGAGTGATGTTTCAATGATTTAGGGCTAGCGATGATCAGAGGCTATCATTTGTGAGGTGCCATCAAATCCTAAAATCATTCCTATGATCGATGAGAGCGGAGGCCCGAAGGAAATGGTGTACAAAAAATGGTGTATAAAGTTATGCCAAAACCTGCAAACAATAAGATCTTGAGTAAGATTTTTGAAATTACATCAACTATAAACTTGTTTCCAGTTTCTGTGAATGCATTCACTTCTCTTTATTTAAGAGAGAAATAACTTATTTTTTTATTTATACATTAAATAAGTAGTTATAATGTATTGAATAAGTAGTTAAAACTCGATTCGAGAATAACAAAAGAAATATAATAATAATAACAAAATCTTATTAGAAATTTCTCTCAGGAATTCATGGCTTGAATTAAATGTGAAAAATAATATGATAAACAAAGTATAAAAAGTATATAAAACTTGATTTGAATGATTGAAAAGTTCTCTCTCTCTCTCTCTCTCAAAGTCCAGTGAATTCTCACTTCAATTCATAGAATATAAGAAAGTTTTTAAAACTTTATTAAAGACTATACTGTATACAGTAGTAATGATCTATATTTACATTAATATTCGCTATTAAAATGTGGGAATGATTTACAACTATATTATAGAATATTATATTATATTTTATATCTTTTTTATGATCTCTTATAAAATATCGCATTTTATTACACATTTTAAGGTATAATTTGTAGAAACTTCTAATCCATTTGATTTACTACAATCAATAAGAATAACACAAATTCTGTATTTACGACTAAAAAATAATAATAATCGCACAGAATATTATTAATATAACGTTTAATGAAATGAAGTTTTTATGCAATAATTTACTTAAACTTCTCTCAGAGTCTATCCTTAAAAACTTAAAATACATATTTAACTCCTGCAGTGAAAGTTGATTCGCAGCTCCGATAGCTTTTTATATCCATCAAAAATATAAATAAGACACTAAACCATAAAATAGGTGGATCTCTCTCTCTCTCTCTCTCTCTCTTATGTTTCATTTCAATTCATTTCTGCATCTCTTATGAGTCTAATCTCTCTATGACTTCAAAAATACACATTTCATGTCTCGAAACCATATTTACTTAACTTTGTATTTCTAATGACTCTCTCTCTCTCTCTCTCTCTCTCTCTCTCTCTCAAAAGGGGATATTTTCTTATGGTATTTGATGTTAAGTTTGCTTTCAATGACTGGCTGTGTTTAAGGACTTAATCCAAAAGCAATTTTTAGATTCTCTCACACATTAAGTTGTTTTAGAAAAATGAAAGCAAAACATATATTGCCTTATATTAATAAATTACACAACAAATGGGAGGCTTTAATTTAGTTTTGTATTATAAGTCCATAGTTTAAAAATAATGAAAATCACTTCATTTAATGGGTGTGCACTCGGGCTCACAAACTATGCGTTTTGTAATGCAATCTCTTTATGAATATGGGCTCAACTTTTTTGGTTCAATTTCTAATGGACTCCTATTCAGTAAATAAATAAATCATATTTGATATTTGAATTCCTTTCAACTAATTTTAATAATAGACTAAAATTGAAATTTTTGCATAAAATAAAATATGTTTTTCAACTTTTCAAGCTAAAAATATCGTTAAAAAATAACTCAAAACTTTGTAGATTTAAGCCATTAGAAATACAAAGTTAAGTAAATATGGTTTCGAGACATGAAATGTGTATTTTTGAAGTCATAGAGAGATTAGACTCATAAGAGATGCAGAAATGAATTGAAATGAAACATAAGAGAGATAACAGAAATTACAATCACTTTTTTGAAGTATGAAAATACTTCTTAACATCAAAAGCAGACAAATGTTTTCTGTTAAGTGACTATCCGTTTGTGGCATACATTGAGATGAACATCACTTTGTAGGCCGTGTTTGATGTTTAATAAACTGATTATTGTATGCAAATCTCTCGCGAAACTTATTTTTTGCTCTCAATCACAATCAGTATTTAAATTTTTAAAATGTATTTTTAGTACCAAAATAACATTCGCTTCAAGAGTGCAAAACTCAATCTCTTTTGCTGTCACTTACTATTCATAATGTTTTTCTTCTCATCACTTCATATGAAAACTGTTTATACTATTAATGCCGTAAAAGAGTGCATAACTTCCATAAGTTTTCCACTTTGAAAACCTCCTATAGTTTGACTTTTCGGTGAATATCTAATGAATTATTTGGTAAATAGTTGTAATAAAAGTAATTAAAAATACTTTTATTATGAAATCATTCATAAAGTAATTAGCAATTTATTGAATGCTAAGTGAATTTTCATAATGAGTTTCATTTTTGTTCAGAAGTGCAGTTTCACGAGGAATACTGTATATGATATTATGAGAAGTTTATGGGAACTGAATCTCAAGAAAGTGATATTCATATGAACTGTCATATCGTCCGACTCATGGATTCAGTAGTCAGTAGTGAACGGAAATGAAGATCTCAAGTGTGATGGGGCTGTGGACTAGGGATGGGGTCATATCCTGTTGGGTCACATCAAACACCATATATTTCAACACATTTGCACCAAAAAAAATGATAACTATTTCTCAATTAGAAAATAGTTTGCTTTCATCGATATTTTACTGATGATCGCAGTACTCATAAATATAGAAATGTAAATCCTTTATAAGCAGACATTTGTATCAAAATTATTATTTAAGTTTTGTTTGAGTAAAATATTTATTTTTACAAAAAACTTCATCACTTTAAAAATTTATGTCTCAAAACGAAATATTTGAGAAAATAGAGACAAAAACAAAACAAATAGTATTTTGCTGACAAATAGTCAAAAGTTTTGAAGTATAAAGCTCACAATAATCACAATATCTATTCAATTAAAATATTTCATATTATTCTTCAGTAACTAATTATAAATAAATACCTGGTATATAAGCTTTTTAGATAAATCTTACAAATTAAAAGCGGATTACATATTGAGTGCAAAGAATTTTAAAGAGGATTTGTGTAAAAAATTTATTAGTTTTTATACTATTTTTTACAAGTCTTACAGACGTTTGATTTTAATGCCTTCAAAACACAAACAACAGAAATATTTGAACTTTTCTTTGTTTTTTGAGGCACTTATTAGACAACAATTTAAATATCAATACAAATCCAAACATTCTTTGCTCCACACAATCAAAGGCACAGAAAGAGCAGACTTTTGTTAGGTTTGGGTTTTGAATCCAGTTTTGAAATATGAAAAATCTCTGTTGTGTAGCATTTAAAGCAAAAAAGTTATTATAATATAATATCGTGTTGTAAAGTCTCGATTGAGTCTTAACTCTCAACACAAATTAATCAGGAATTTCGCTCAAAAGAGGTTATGCTGTGTGTGTGTGTGTGTATGGGCTATGTATGGGACAGAGGGGTGAATATATTTTACTTTGTTTGATATCATAATAAGTTTGAAGGTAAGAGTAGAGAAAATCATACATTAGATTTTTGTGGGCAAAACTCTCTCTCTCACTATTCAATACAATAAACTGGTATCCAATAAATACAGTGAAAAGAAATCAAACACAATATGTAAGGAATAACTGAATATTTGGTTTTTGAATAAAAGGCAAACATTATACGGAATATTGTTAAAGAATTTAATTAAATATTTGATATTTTACTCATAAAGTTATAATTTTAACAATAATCATCTTGGGAAACTTTGTGAGAAGTTTATACACAGACGAGGAATAAAAAAAGTTTTGAAAACATTATTCTCAGACTAAATAAATTTCACTAGACGATAAATTATTTATTTTCCTAAATTTCTGTTATGAAAAGCTCTTTTGAGCCAATCCTATGTTATTAATAATATAATGCAAAACACAACATGTTTAGCCTTTTTTCACTCGAGTAATACTTTAATTATTTGCCATGTTATCAAAGTATGTGATATAATTATTAATGTTTCCCCAAAAACAATAACAAATAATAACAAGTTTGGTTATAAAGAATTGCAAAAAAACTACAAATTCTTGGGCAGTATATAAGTGTGAAGTGAATGGGGAATAAAAGTCTGGCAAAAGTTGTCTCAATTGATTGGGTTGTTTGGTTGGAGTCTCTCTACACCTGCGATACTAATTCGACAATTGCTTTGCACTGGTATTACAAGGCGTGCAATCGTATAGTCATTTCGCTAATACAACCGACACATACAAACAACGGGCCAAACAAATGGTGAAAATTTATTCCTCAACAATCTTCAGCCCATAGATATGTCGGTGGGACTCATGAGGTATGAAAACTTCGGGCGTAGAATACATTAAGCGCTGAAATATATTCAACTCATACATGAAGTTATTTATTGGTTTGGAAACAACATTGCAAATACTCCTATTGTATGTAATGACAGAATTGTATTCACGGATTGCTTTCCAAAGCATAACTAATTTCTCAAGAGTTTTCTCAACTGTTTTCTCCTTTATGTTGTTATTATTTAACTAACAATTTATTAAAAGTTATGTTCAAATAATGCAATCAAATAAACAATTGACTGAAACACAGAGTTTGAAAACTCAATTTTCTCTGTCTATGAATAAAACAAACTGAAATGTCTTTATACATGCTTTTTAGAAATATCCTGAATCTCAAAGTTAAACCATATTAACAGCCCATGAGAACAACGAATTTATAATCAAAAACTATTGACAGCAATGTTTTTAAGACAGCATAGGAAAGGTAGGCATAGGAAAGGTAGGCTCATAGGCGCAGGTGTTTCTCATTACATAGTATTAATCGAAGAATAAGGTAGGGATGTAATCAGTTATATATATGAAGTTTTTTACAATATTTTAATAGTTTTCAGGGCAGAGACGACAACAAATGTCTTTTGAGAGGCATTACATACAACACCATAATCTAAACCTCAGGCGCTGATGATATGTCAAAAATTTGAACGGCCTTTCAATACAATAAAACGTATATTACATACAATAATAGCCATAATATTTCACTTATCCTTTATATTTTTGCTCATTATTTGCATTAAATTAAAATAAATTAACAGATGATTA